TGAAATTTTCAAAACATTATTTACAAAAAAGGAGCTAATTTTACGCTATGATATTGGTGTGTAAACGAGTTGTATAAATTTATACCACCAGCACTGGCTGTGAAAACTTGAATCGAACTGGAAATTTTATTAAATCATATGTGACCTGGTCTACGGAAAGGGGGCTTAGGTGTCAAAAAATCAATTTTCACTTTTTGGTTGATTCGGATGGAAGATGAGATGCTTTTTCACGTGGTGAAAAGCAGAAAATCCTAACTTGCTTAGAAGTGTACTAAAAATGTAGAGAAAGAAGAGTAAAAATACGACAAAATATAATTTATTGGTAATGAACAAAATACATTGAATTATAAGCTATAAAGACATGATTATACACTAGAAAAACGTATTATGGGCCAAAAATAATAATGCTGAGTAGTTTATGTTTTTTTCTGTTGTCGTTTTCCTTGAGAAGAATTAACGAGATAATCAGAAACTGACGAAACGAGTTGCTTACTTTTAACAGCTTTTTCACAGAAAACTAGTTTTCGCACGTAAGCTCCCTTTTCGTAGACCAGGTCACATATTTTAATTTGAATAAACCTGCTTTCCAAGAAGGTTATAAAAATTTAACAGCACGTGAAAATGTAAATTTAAATGTTTGGTAATTACAATTCAGATTAACATCACTACAAGTTTAGAACTTTCGTATACTATTATTAAAAGAAGACTTATTGGTAACCTAAAACTCTGTAAACTTAAAAGTTATTTCGTGATAAAATTATTAAATGGAGTTTCGCCGACAGTGCGTTTATCGCAAGACCGATGGATGTGAAATTCGGAAGATTAACGTGGATATGACGCCATAGCAGATTTGCCGGTGGAGAGAGCTGAGAGAGATCTGTCAGTATGTATATGTATTAGGGATGTTTCGAATGTCATATTTTTCACATTCGCGAATGCGACTGAGAAATTTCGGAATGCGATTGTGCGAATGCAAATGTGAAGGTTAGGAATAACATTGAAAAAGCTATAATCAACTTAAGTCATCGTTTTTATTACTTTAAAATTTTGTAAATAATTAGAACATTGAACGAGTGCTTATCCTATACAGTGTTTTAATCTAGTAGTCAAGGTTCAAAAGAGGCATATTATATTTCAAAAAACGTAATTTTGCTGCCTCTTCTCCCATGAGGCGATTTCTTAGAGGCGCGTATATAAGGCGCGCTGCACAATTGCTCACTTGGAACGCTGGCGGGTGGAGCCCTCAAATATTTTCGGGCCAGTTCTGTCAATTTGTCGTATTTTAGTTTAGTTTTCCTCCAATCGAGAGGATTTTCACCGAGATGAGCCCGTTTTTATTTAAGATACGCCTTCAATTGAGCCTGAATAACACATTTTTTAATGTCTCCGAGCCTTCGCTTTCGCAGGATGAATCTAAAATTAGTTCTAGGTTGCTTATAAGACTTTAAGCAGTACTTGTTGAAGGTACATCAATGTTGCTTGATATACTACTTAACCGGTTAGCGCCTGAAACTAAAAGCCTGTTATTGTCCGCACCCTGGTTAGAGCCATTTCAACAATATTAGAGTTGACTCTCTACGTATGTACACAATGGCGAATGCGAATATATGTATATGCAGTGTTACCGCTGAACATTTTTCGAAAATAAGTGTCACAGTCGAAAAAAGTGTCTTCAAGTCATTCAAATCGTGTATACCATGTATGTAAAGACTTTCATTATTCTACCTTTCGAAACTTATTAGGGCATATTTATAGTTGAAATAAAGTCGACTCTAACGTTAGTTTTAGCTTTTTTCAACAGAAAATCTGCAAAAAAAACTGCTTAGAGTAGGCTTTATTTCATCTGTGACTATACCCCATTATTTTTATTAAATTGTTAATGGAGATCATCATTTTCTGTCAAAAATAGGTTTTTCTCTTAAAATAATAACCCATTGATGAGGGATATATTAAAAATACGCAATATGTATATTTTGCATTTAGTATGAAAACAAAATTGGAGTTAAAAAAAGTACTTACATCATTAAATAAATAATAAATTTAACAAGCTAAGCTACAAAAACGGTGCATAAATTCATGTTACTTCTGAACATTTATTCGGAAAATGTTCGACATAATAAAAAGGTTAAAATCAGTCAAAATCTGGCCAGAGCTGTAATTTTGAAGTGCGTTTGAATAATAAATACTAAAAGCTTTTTTAAACACGTAAGAAAAATAAAATTTCAAATTTTCAAAATGTGTATATTGAATTTTAAATCAAAGAAAAGTGGCAAAAGTCGCATGATTTTTTGGAAAAGTTTCAAAATAACCCTATTTTTAAACAGTCGGTGTCAGGGGTATCGATCTCCAAAAAGTGTCAATTTGACGCTTTAGTCGCACAACGGTTACACTGTGTATATGTACACCTGCGTTCAACTAATTAGAAACTAAATTCAAAATGATATTGTTTGCAAATCATGTTTATTTTCTATTTATAATAATTTTCATTTAAAATATAGTTTAATCTGTAGCAGAAACCACAATAATAAAAATTTCAAAGCTTGCAAAAATTGCAAAAAAATAATCAAACTTCAAAAAATTGTCATAAAAATTTCCAAATTTTTAATCAAAATATTTAGAAAATTTTCGGGTATGCAGTTCTGTAGCCCATTCAATTGTAGTCTAAGAAAGTGCAAGTCTTAAGTCGTTAAAAATTACCATTGATTATTTAGATTTTTTTTGTGGAGGGTGTTGCGGAGTTTTTTTTTTCATATAAAAAAATTTTTGATCATGCATTGCAAAAAATTCTAAAAAATCAACGTTAATTTTTATTGGCTTGAGACTTGCACTTTCTTAGACTACAATTGAATGGGCTACAGAACTGCATACCCGAAAATTTTCTAAATATTTTGATTAAAAATTTGGAAATTTTGATGACAATTTTTTGAAGTTTGATTATTTTTTTTGCAATTTTTGCCAGCTTTGAAATTTTTATTATTGTGATTGATTGAACTATATTTTAAATGAAAATTATTAAAAATTAAAAAATAAACATACTTTGCAAAGAATATCATTTTGAATTCCGCTTCTAATTAGTTGAACGCAGGTGTATATATCACAGGCAATAATCAAAATCTGCTATGACGTCAAACATCTGTCAAAATTTTCAAGAGAGTTAGCGATATCACAATCAGCGCCACCTTCTGTATTCGTTTCATCATGCGTTTATCGTACATTTTTCGTATTAGGAAAAAAGAAATCGTTTTAAAGTTATTCATAGTTAAAATCTAGTCGATTCTAAAGTCAGTTGCATCCTTTCTGAAAGATATTCCATTGAAAATTATATCAAAAAGCCGCAACGAACTTTAATTTTAAAATTTTTATTCCACTGAACATTTTAAAACATGTACACGTATTCTGGCAGCAGCTGAGCGTGCAACCATTTGCTAGCTTCCACAAGGTCGCAGGTTCGAATGCCGTCAGAAGCAACATATCAAAATGATATGAAAAGTATTTATTAAATTTTTAATATTTATATTTGATTTTGTTTCAGTAACTTTGGAAACGCACGTTAAGTTTAGAATGAAAGCGTTTTCAAGGAAAAATTTAATCAGATTATTTTTTGAAACCCAATATCCGTTTCACAACCATCTTCCGCACTTTAGTTGTAAAACGTTTCGAAAAAACGACCGAAATGGAATTAGAAAACTGATGAAATACCCGATTTGCATAGGAAATTTTTTCCATTTTCGGATACGTTTCCGGATATTTTGCTGGCTGGGTATCCATTTATACATACTCGTATATAACTCGTACATATTTGCGGTGTTTAGTTGCGTTATAATTTCCACAAAACTATGTACATAAGGGTGCTTTTTTTCGGCGAATATTTTTTTTACTCCCACCTCGAAATTTTGTATGAAATACGTAAAAACAAGTTCCCTGAAAATTAAAGCCCTTAATATTAATATTAAGTGCTCGACCAAGGCGTGCAAAGATTTCCCGTTCACACATAAACTTTCATTGTTTTCAAAAGTCTACAGCTCAGAGGCATTTTATGGTATAATCTTGGTTAATGATGAGGTTTCTTCAGAATTGAATGCTCTCAAAAGTATCCATTGCGGTGTAACCCTAATTCCCACCAGCGAGGTAGTACAGGTCACTAAACCCAATTTTTTCATGAAATCCTCGTTTTTTGCCCCCCTCTCGTAAATAGCAAGAAATAAAAAATGTAAATGACAAACTTGTGGAAAGTTCAATTTATGTACTACAAAAAAGTTTAGAGCACTTAATCATTGACCTCGATGTTTCTTGAGATATTGTGCTTTGTCAATTTCTACAATTGAGTAGTCCACTTGCAAACAGCGTTATGTGATTTTATCATTATAAGCTATAAATTAAAAAAAAACGACTACGACAACAAGTAACATCTAAATGGAATCTTTTTTTATTACCTGAAAATTTGAATAAGCAAGAGCCTAATAACATTATAACATAACATAGCATAACACAACATAACATTATCAGTCTATGCGACCTAAAGCAGTTTTCTAAGTCCTTCAAGTCTCCATCTTCTTGAAAGTTTATAAATAAGTAGATAGCGTCTTTTGTAAGAATAGTTAATATTTGATGCTACTTTTTCAGAATAAGGAAAGATTTTCCACTGTGTTGTTAGTGGACATGAAACTACTTTAAATACTGGTACGTTACCCACCAAAAACTAAAAATCAAAAAAATTTTACATAGCGCACTTTGCAAGTGGACTACTCAATTTAAATTGAATTTTCTACAAATCTGTAGACTTTTGCAGAAAAACAACCAAAGGGGACGTGTATTTTGGACGGGAAATCTTTGCATGCCTTGGCCGAGCAGTAAATATTAATATAATCTAATGAATATTAAGGGCTCAAATTTTAAGGGAACTTGTTTTTAGGTAGTTCGCACAAAATTTCGAGGTGAGAGTAAAAAAATAAAATAAATAGTCGCCGAAAAAGCACCCTAATGTACATATTATTCCTCCTTATTGCATGTATAATTAATTTTCAATAATAAGTGTTACATAAATTTCTTTATTTAAAACTTTTGAATTTTACAAAATCAGATACACCTTATTCCTATTTTTATCATCCTATATATGTATGTACATATTACCTCCCTCCATGGGTATTATGGTATCAGGTACAAAGTTATTTATAAAGGTTATGCAAAATTATTTTTGATGCTAATTTATATAATGTACAACCTAACTTTTTACCGGTAAAAATGGTTAGTTTAAAAAGTAAAATATGCAAACCTGGGATGATAATTTTTATGTTTATGCGCCTGAAAGGTAAGAGATTGCAAATATAAATGTTTAGTCACTACAGTCATAATATTTAAAACACTTGTTCTAACTTTAAACACACTAAAATTGTACTTATTGCACATACATACATACAGCTACGATCAAATAATTAACAATACAATCAACCCAAACGTTCACTTTTTCACTACACAGTTGCTAATAGCTGAGAACACGAGTTATTTAATTGTCACGACGCACACTCTTCAGTTGAAAAAATACCAGAATCATAATCATCATTGGTGCTTGGCAGTTTCTCAATTTGCTTTAAAGGACGCACAATATTCAAATTAACATGAACTACTTCATTGCTAACATCCATCACCGCAATACTTGCCACCTCTGGTATGGTAGGACATTTTTTCAGTCTGCCATGAACGGACTTATTTTTATCCCTAACTTTCGAGTGTATTATTCCAATATTGTCTTCTAAGGCTACAGTATGCCGTTTTGTATCTAACAATTCCAAGTTTATGTCGCTCCACGTTGAAGGCTTCTCAGTACACCTGTTGTTTATACCAATTTTAATGTTGTTCTGGTTTGCCTACAAAAAAGAAAATTGAATTGTTAGTGATATGCAAATTACAGTAAGCGCTATAACATCATTCAAATACAAGTAATTTTTAAGCAAAAACTAAACGGACTTCAATTCTCATATACACATTTAAGAGTACCGTTAATTTCTAACCAAATTAGTATGCTACCATTCCTGAGGTACAACCTTTCCTTAAATAAAGAAATTATAGAAATCGGTTAACGTGGTCCGAAGTTATGCGGTAACATACATAAAAAAATATACCGACGAATTGATAACCTCCTCATTGTTTTGAAGTCAGTTAAAAATAAGAGAACTTCCGATTAGTGTGTTGATATTCGGATATCCGAATAGTGTATTGATATTCCGACAATGTTAAAAATAACAATAAAATATCAAAATTTTCGTGTATTACTGAAGTGATCTATTTATTTGTTTTTCATCTCGATAGATAGTAGATTTAAGAATTATTTTACTCATCCGTTAAAATAATTTTTTGGAAATCCGAATATTAACCTGATATCCAATTTCCACAATTTGGTGAGAACCGCTGTTTTTCTAAAGAACCATTGCAAATATCAATTTTGAGTAAATATAATAGAGCTCCTTACCGCAGAATTCCACAGGCAAGAACCGATGGCTTACCAACTTAAGTGGCGACGAGGATGGGATTAATGTAACCAACGGTTCCGAATGCTGTTATGAGACTGACTCTTTATTCATACTTTGTCATACTTCATTCTTATAGCTAGATACATATTCTCTTATATTCTTACGTTAGCGTTGTATTTGCTTACGTTTGGTATTTGTATCCATGTGCACACATATATACAACACTTGTCCCCGCCTAAATACTTCCCCAGCCTTGATAACTTAACATTAGATTAGAATTGAACAAAATAAAAATTCCTGATTTGATGAATTTTACGTGAACACTGCAGATGAACAGAATGAAAATGCTAGATTATCGGAAACGTATTGGTACGTTCCGTGCTCGTTTTGATCGACGGAGTTGGTCAGCTTCCACGTTTACTGGGGTCGCTGGCCCGTCTCCCATTTCGGCTTCTTGCATTGCTTCCTGCGAAGGGTTAAGCGTTGTCTGCGTTGGCGTGTCAGTTGTCGATGACCCATTTGCCGATGAGGGTTGGAATTCCCGTATTTGGCCCGCACCTAGAACGAAACTTTTATCTGGGTTATGGCATACCGACCGAGATATGTCCACCTCAGGCAAGGCTACTTGAGCGCCCGCTGCTTCTGTGGTCATCTTACTGCGGACCTTCCTCAGCTGATCGACGTGTCTCTTCCAAACACGACCGTCGTCCAATCGAATGTTGTAGTGCAACTCTCCTAAAACCTCGACCACCGTTCCCAAACGCCATTTTTCGCTCGCATGGTACTCCCGTGCTGCCACTCTCACTCCTGTCACAAATTTTGCCGTGATCACTTTGCGTTCGTACACAATGTGCTCGATCTGTCGTAACAGCAAATCTAACCTTGACTGTATTTGGCGACCGAGCATAAGCATGGATGGTGACACCTCCGTCGCTGCGTGAGTTGCCCTTCTTTACGCCAGGAGAACCTTTGCCAATTCACAGCTCATGCTTGACGCGTTGCATTTGGTAGCCAACAGTTTTTTTTTTTTATCGTTTGAACAAACCTTTCCGCCTGCCCGTTAGTGGCGGGATGGTATGGTGCTCCCATCTTGTGAATAATTCCATTCAACTTCAAAAAATTTTGGAATTCGCTGGACACGAATTGTGTACCGTGATCGCTTACAAAAACGTTGGGAATACCAAAAGTAGCAAAGATTTCTCGGCACTTCTCAATCATGACACTCGTTGTCATATTCGGTACTATGTGGACTTCAGGCCACTTGCTGGAGGCATAGATTAAAATGAACAGATATTTGCCCATAAATGGTCCGGCAAAATCGGCATGCACTCTTTCAAATGGTTTCTTTGGGTGCACCCAACTGTGCGATCGGCCTAACTTCTCTGGGGTTCGGTCTAGAAAGTTGGCATGCGGAACAATGTGAAACTAATTCCTCAATGTCCTTGTCCATCCTGTTCCACCAACAGTACACTCTCTTCTACAAGGCTCTTCATCCTGCTAATTCCAAAGTGCGCACAATGCAACTCCTCCAGAATTCTCTTACGTAAGGATGCTGGGACATACACACGTAACCCCCGCATTAAACAGCCGCGTTGTAAACTAAACTCTGTCCGAGTGATTCCGAAACGGTGTTTCGCGTCCCAATTTCAGGCACTGCAAAAGTATCTTCACTTCGTCATCCTCATCGGTTTTTTTCCTTAGTTCGCTGGCAGTCACCGGTAAATTTTCGATCATCTCCTGCTCGATAATGTCAACCTCTTCAGTCTTTTCGTTGGTACTGCAAATAGGTAAGCGCGACATCGCATCCGCATTAGCATTATCCTTGGACTTTTTCAATCGGATCTCAAAATCAAAATGTGCCAGAAAAATAGCGTAATGTGACATTCTTGTGGCTGACAACAATGGCAAGCCCTTCTGCGGGGAGAATATTTGTGAAATCGGTTTATTGTCTGTCACCAGTATGAAACGTTTACCATATAAGTACTGGTAAAATTTCCGAACACCAAAAATGATAGCATATGCCTCCTTGTCAATTTGGCTATATTTCTGTTGCGTTTTGTTTAGGGTCTGTGGCGCGAATTGTAACGGCCTTCCACAGCCGTCCTCATATACATGACTAAGCACCGCACCTACGCCCACAGGACTGGCATCTACGGCCAACACCACGGGCAACTTGGGGTCATAGTGCGTCAAAAACAAACAGGACTGCATTTGCTCCTTTACTTCCGCAAATGCCTTCTCACAACGTTCATCAAAAACGAATTTTACCTCATTTTGCAGTAGCTTGTTTAACGGGTAAACGATGTTACTCAAGTTTTTCACGAAGCGGCCGTAATAATTAATTAATACCAAGAACCAACGAACTTCGGCTTTGCAGGTCGGCTTTTTCATGCTCCGTATAGCCTCTACCTTGCTTTGAACACGGTGTATGCCGCGTTCATCGATCAAATACCCACAATATTCTATTCGATCCCTGAAGAATTCGCACTTCTGTGCATTTACGCGAATGTTGTGTTCTTGTAACCGCCGAAAAACTGCTTCGAGTCGAAAGATGTGTTTTTCATCGCTGCTTGCTGTAATCTTGATGTCATCAAGAAACACGGACACTCCGGGAATATCGCCGACTAGCTGCTCCATTAGACGTTGATACTTTGCCGGCGCACTTGCTATCCCAAACATCATTCTAGTTGGTTGATATAAGCCTTTGTGCGTATTCAGCGTCATCACATGTCGATCCTCTGGATGCACCTCTAATTGTAGATATGCACTTGACAGATCGATTTTGGAAAACTTTTTTCCGCCGTACATCTTGGAAAACAGCTCATCTATCGTAGGCAACGGATGCTAATCCACTACCAGAGCTGGATTTAACGTCACCTTGTAGTCTCCGCAAATTCGTACGCCACCCTGTTTCTTCGGTATAACTACCAAAGGCTCTTTTCCACTTTAACCAAAAGTCCCTCGTTCACTTGCCTGTCGATTTACTTTTCCACCACCTCATACAAAGGGAAAACCACTCTTCTCGCTCTAACAAATTTCGGCATAGCATTCGGTTTCAAATGTAACCTGGCTTGCAAGTTCGTTATCTTCCCCATTGTTTGCGAAAAAACTACGGGAAATTTAAGCTTCAGCATTTCGATGATCTCCGCTGCTTTCCGGGTTTTGAACTGCACTTGGTTGCACGTTAATTGTTCCCTCATGATGCTGCTCCAGTTTAACTTGATAGTGCGAAGCCACTCTCTTCCGAGCAGCGGCCTGCGATCGGATCGCACCATATATAGTTTCACTAGGGCTTCGTCGCCCTGAGATTCCACGCACACCCAAATGTACCCAACACAATTTAATGATGTGCCACAATAGCTAATTAATTCAGTATCCGGTGGACACACTTTTAATTTGGGAAAATGGCCATTTACTTTTAGTTCGCAATTAATTTTCTGCCTCACATTGTTTACACCTTTTTCGTTAACTTGCAACAGCTCTTCCACCGATTTTTCCACTCCAGTGTCTATTTGATTTATTTTTTTATTTTCTTGGAAACACATTTTTCGTAAATGGCCTTTTTTCTTGCAGAAATGACATTTTTCATCTTTGTACCTGCACTCTTTCGCTGTGTGCGCAGCGTTGTCACCGCGAAAACACTTCTGTTTGTCTTCTTTACCATCCCTGAATAATTTGCCTGTGTTGCCATTTATTTTATTTTTGTGTTTACTCTTATTTTCAAGCATTTTATTCACACCTTCCTTCGCACATTCTTTAATCTGAATTTCTGCACCTCCCTTTTCTGCCGTTTCGACCGCCATTGCTAAATTAATAGCCTGCTCTAGCGTGAAGGTTTTTTCTTCTAAAAGCCGACTCTGGATACGTTGGTTCGTAAGTCCGAAAACAAATTGATTCCTCAGCGCGGTGTCTAAATATGGCCCAAAATTGCACCGCACAGCCAATCGTCGTAATACCGTGATGAATTCTGTACAAGACTCACCCCCTTGTTGTTTCCTGGAATTGAACCGATAATTTTCCAATATCTCATTGGGTTTGGGATCAAAATGGTTTCCCGATACTCCCACCAAATCAGCATATTCCTTTTCTTCTGGAGTTTGCGGTAGCAATTTGTCATAGAGGATGTTATAAGTATTTCCTCCTATGTAATACAAAATTACGCCGAACCCCTGCTGTCTCACTAATTCCGTGAATCGCCATTGCGGTTTCTAGCCGCTTTACCCATCGCGAAAATGTTGTAATTTTTGCGTCGAAAGCCTCGAAATTACACAAGTTGACCCTCGCATTGGCGCTGTCCACTGCCATGTTGCTCGCTGCCGTATTTTGCGTGGCCTCCATATGCCCTTGCAGCGTAACCAATTTGCATGCGTTTTTGGTCGATCGTTGATTCTCGTCGC